TATAATCATATATATATATATATATATATATATATATATAACATGAAATCATCATTTTAAAAAAATCCTCTGCTGTTCTTGCTGTTCTTTACATTTTGTAAGGTTTGTCAGTCAATCCTGCCACAATTTTATACAGTAAATAATTGTTGACAACTGGATATTTTTTTAAATATCAGCATTAAATAATTTTTCTAATAACACTTTACTTTCCATACATGTTTATATTATTTATTGAGATGTTATTAGACTGGTTGTAATAAATTTTAAAAAAAGACTTGAATTTGCGTCCCCAGGTTATCCATCAACCCTGTTACCATCATATATAATTATTAAAATGAAATGCAATTCAATAAATTTAAAAATAAAACTATCATGTACTCATTTTTAAAAAATCCTATTTAATCCTAAAATCACTATCTTACATTTTGTTGGGTTTGTCAGTCAACCCTGTTACCATGATTTTTTAAGGAAATCCTCGGGACGTGAGTATGAATGATGCTTTGACATTGTGAATGCCTGACTGCGATCGTAATCTCCATATCAGAGTCAATATCCTCCAGTTTGCGTTCTCAAAGTTTGACATGTGAGAATATTCTAGGTGAAATACTAAACTTTATCATCACATTAAACCCATATTTGCTGGGTTATAAATGGCTTAAAAAGTGAAAGCTTATTTTTCTGGCTCAGTGACTCGAGAAAATGTTGCGTTTTTGTCCCTCATGAATATAACGTTATGTGTAACGACAGGACACTCATTTGCATGTATATACTGAATATCCTATGAAAATAAAAGCTGGTATAGACTATTGTATTTAGCCTGCTCTACTTATAGGCATATACTTATATTATTTATTCAGACGTTAATAGACAGGTTAAATAAAAAAAAGACTTAATTTGCATCCCCCAGGTTATCTGTCAATCCTGTTACAATCATAAATAATTACTAAAATTAAATCTATCTATCTATCTGTCTCATGAAATCGATCATAATTAAAGATAATATATATTATAATCATATATATATATATATATACAACTGGATATTTTTTTAAATATCAGCATTAAATAATTTTTCTAATAACACTTTACTTTCCATACATGTTTATATTATTTATTGAGATGTTATTAGACTGGTTGAAATAAATTTTAAAAAAAGACTTGAATTTGCGTCCCCAGGTTATCCATCAACCCTGTTACCATCATATATAATTATTAAAATGAAATGCAATTCAATAAATTTAAAAATAAAACTATCATGTACTCATTTTTTAAAAATCCTATTTAATCCTAAAATCACTATCTTACATTTTGTTGGGTTTGTCAGTCAACCCTGTTACCATGATTTATACGGTAAACAAATTGATTATAGACAGCTGGATGTTTGTAGCAATATCAGCTTTCTGCTTCT